TTGGGACATGGCAAATAACATATATTATTAAAAAATTAGGTTCAAAATGTACTATAAAATACAATAATTAACAACTTAATATATTAAAGAGACATATAAAAAATGGTTAATATTTGAAATTCTGCATGTGCCACATAAATTAGAACAAATAGAGTAATAAATATTACTTTCAAAATTATGTTAAAAAAAAGTACTACAAATCACAATAGCTAACAATTTAAAATATTTTTAAAATCATATAAAAATTTCAATAACTTCTCAAATTCCATAATATAACACTTAAATACTACATATTATATATTAATTACTATACTATAAATGACTTAAATACTCCATATTATCTATTACAATAATTAACAATTATTTGACACTTTAAATTCTATCAATGCCATATAAATTAGGATAAAAAACCTAACATATAATATTTAAATATATTTACAAATAATATAAGTAATACTATACATTACAATAATTAACAGCTTAATTATTTAAAACTTATATAAAAAATTTAATTGACTCTCTAAATTCTATTGGTACCACATAAAATGGATTATATGATAAACATATATTGTTTGAAATTGACGAAAAAGAAACTATAAATTACAATAATTAACAAAATAAATCTCTCGACTCCAACAAATCTATCAATTAATGCCACATAAATTGGGACATGGCAAATAACATATATTATTAAAAAATTAGGTTCAAAATGTACTATAAAATACAATAATTAACAACTTAATATATTAAAGAGACATATAAAAAATGGTTAATATTTGAAATTCTGCATGTGCCACATAAATTAGAACAAATAGAGTAATAAATATTACTTTCAAAATTATGTTAAAAAAAAGTACTACAAATCACAATAGCTAACAATTTAAAATATTTTTAAAATCATATAAAAATTTCAATAACTTCTCAAATTCCATAATATAACACTTAAATACTACATATTATATATTAATTACTATACTATAAATGACTTAAATACTCCATATTATCTATTACAATAATTAACAATTATTTGACACTTTAAATTCTATCAATGCCATATAAATTAGGATAAAAAACCTAACATATAATATTTAAATATATTTACAAATAATATAAGTAATACTATACATTACAATAATTAACAGCTTAATTATTTAAAACTTATATAAAAAATTTAATTGACTCTCTAAATTCTATTGGTACCACATAAAATGGATTATATGATAAACATATATTGTTTGAAATTGACGAAAAAGAAACTATAAATTACAATAATTAACAAAATAAATCTCTCGACTCCAACAAATCTATCAATTAATGCCACATAAATTGGGACATGGCAAATAACATATATTATTAAAAAATTAGGTTCAAAATGTACTATAAAATACAATAATTAACAACTTAATATATTAAAGAGACATATAAAAAATGGTTAATATTTGAAATTCTGCATGTGCCACATAAATTAGAACAAATAGAGTAATAAATATTACTTTCAAAATTATGTTAAAAAAAAGTACTACAAATCACAATAGCTAACAATTTAAAATATTTTTAAAATCATATAAAAATTTCAATAACTTCTCAAATTCCATAATATAACACTTAAATACTACATATTATATATTAATTACTATACTATAAATGACTTAAATACTCCATATTATCTATTACAATAATTAACAATTATTTGACACTTTAAATTCTATCAATGCCATATAAATTAGGATAAAAAACCTAACATATAATATTTAAATATATTTACAAATAATATAAGTAATACTATACATTATAATAATTAACAGCTTAATTATTTAAAACTTATATAAAAAATTTAATTGACTCTCTAAATTCTATTGGTACCACATAAAATGGATTATATGATAAACATATATTGTTTGAAATTGACGAAAAAGAAACTATAAATTACAATAATTAACAAAATAAATCTCTCGACTCCAACAAATCTATCAATTAATGCCACATAAATTGGGACATGGCAAATAACATATATTATTAAAAAATTAGGTTCAAAATGTACTATAAAATACAATAATTAACAACTTAATATATTAAAGAGACATATAAAAAATGGTTAATATTTGAAATTCTGCGTGTGCCACATAAATTAGAACAAACAGAGTAATAAATATTTTTTTCAAAATTATGTTAAAAAAAAGTACTACAAATCACAATAGCTAACAATTTAAAATATTTTTAAAATCATATAAAAATTTCAATAACTTCTCAAATTCCATAATATAACACTTAAATACTACATATTATATATTAATTACTATACTATAAATGACTTAAATACTCCATATTATCTATTACAATAATTAACAATTATTTGACACTTTAAATTCTATCAATGCCATATAAATTAGGATAAAAAACCTAACATATAATATTTAAATATATTTACAAATAATATAAGTAATACTATACATTATAATAATTAACAGCTTAATTATTTAAATATTTTTTTAATAATATATGTTATTTGCCATGTCCCAATTTATGTGGCATTAATTGATAGATTTGTTGGAGTCGAGAGATTTATTTTGTTAATTATTGTAATTTATAATTTGTTTTTCGTCAATTTCGTCGACTATTTTTTTTATTAATTATTGTAATTTATTGTTTCTTTTTTGTCAATTTCAAACAATATATGTTTATCATATAATCCATTTTATGTGGTACCAAGAGAATTTAGAGTTAATTAAATTTTTTATATAAGTTTTAAATAATTAAGCTGTTAATTATTATAATGTATAGTATTACTTATATTATTTGTAAATATATTTAAATATTATATGTTAGGTTTTTTATCCTAATTTATATGGCATTGATAGAATTTAAAGTGTCAAATAATTGTTAATTATTGTAATAGATAATATGGAGTATTTAAGTCATTTATAGTATAGTAATTAATATATAATATGTAGTATTTAAGTGTTATATTATGGAATTTGAGAAGTTATTGAAATTTTTATATGATTTTAAAAATATTTTAAATTCATAACTATATATTTCAATGTACAAGATTTTGATAAAATAAAATCTTTAAAGTTAAAGTATAATGTTTTTGAAATTTAAATTATTAAAACATATATAATGATTTTATAGGAAAAAATAATATCATATAAAATTAAATGAAAAGGATAATGAATTCAACTTTTACCATGATAAGGTTGAAGAATATTATTTAAGTGGAAGGAGGTGGGGCCCACTTATATATGTACAAGTACTTTAATGCAATGGAAGGACCAACATTGTACAAGTACTTTAATGCAATGTTGGTCCTTTCCAACTCTCACTTCTAAATAAGAGTAATATACTAGTATTTATTAAATCAAGATTAATAAGAGTGAAATTTAAAATAACAGTGCAATACAAAATTTTAGTATAAAAAGTGAAACGTGATAGGTCAAACTTTAGATCATGACAATAAAAATTTAAGATTAGAGAAAAGTCAACATATTATAATATCAATTAAGGTGACATTTTTTATTTGAAAAAAAAAGGGATAGATTTTAAGTAAGCATACATTGAATATTAAGAATTATTAGAAAGGAATTTTGTTGTTTGACTACTTTTTTAAATAAAATTAGCGATCGATCTACTCTTCACAATTTTTTTTATGCAGTTAATTACAGCTTCTAATATAAGAGAGTTAACTTTTACTTTTTTGTTAGGGGGCTTAATAATTTTTAACTTTTAAGTTATGTTACATTTTTGAGTTTCTATTATATCTTTTTAAATTAAAAAAAGAACTTCATTTGTAGTTGATGACGTTGAATCAAACAAATTTGAAACTCTTTTTGTTAACCCATTTAGGCTAATATGTATATCGAATAGCTATAATCTTACTGCTATATGTATATCGGATAACTATAATCTTACTACCATATCAGTGATGGAAACTACAAGGAACTATGCTTGCCCGTGGTCACCCTACTATATGATGCATATTGTTGATTAATATAAATTACTATCGTCTTCTATCAAAAGAAGAAGTAAAATAACAAAGGTAAATAAAAATGATTTAGAGATTCATAAGGTTCACACTTAATGCCTCGAAGGCTCGAAGCTTATGCATTATTTGTATTAAATAAAATATTCAATTTTACGTTCTCACTTTCTAAAACATTGATTTAAACTGTATTTTAAACTTCAATACTTCAGTTTAATAGTTGCACCAAACTTTAAACCATTAATTTGAAGCTCTCAATCCAATATTACTTCATTGTAGTAAATTAGAACTTTCTAATTTTGTTATGAACATATTATAAGCATTTATGTCCATAATTTTATGGAGCAATTCTCACTAGTATGTAACAATAGATCTCACGTAACGAATTTTTTTATTTTATGAGTTCTAAATTATAAAATGATAATTTTACATAATAATAACTATATTCTTAATTTAATATATAAATAAAATATATTAGTTAAGAAAAAATATATTATGTTCAAGCTTTTAATTTTCGAATTGCTTCTCTATACCAAAGGCTTAAACGATCCTTAGTTATTGAAAAAGTTTCATCCTTGTACCATAACTCGGGTCAGGGTCGGCTCTACAACTTTGAAAAAAAAATAATTGCCTTAGGCCCCAAAAATTGAGGAGCCTCATTTTAAAAATAAATAAATAGGTTATAAGTATTATTTTTAAAAAAATATCGAATATTACTTGTAGAAAATAAATTTTTTTCATAAAAGAGCAAAGAAGTAATAAAAGTTCGACAAATTACGAATCCTATGTCTCAAGAAAGATTAAATATTGGCTATAATAAACTTCATAAAAATAGATATTTAAATTTAAGGTCTCCATTCGAATTTGTCTTTAGACCTCCAATTTATTAGAGCCGCCCCTGACTCGGGTCGATACATGTGTAACACTATGAAATGATATTTCACAACTATCCCCACAACGTGTTAACTCAATGCATCCATGGAACACATGACCAATTTTTATTAGCCATTTCTATCCTCGGGCTTGACCCTCTTTAGCTCAAGCGTATTATAAAAATGGCAGCACCAATATTGCGACACCTCACTACTCCTTTCCCTTCCTTTATAAAACTCAACCAAACCCCCAAAATTCACTCATTTTTCACTTTCTCCACTCATCCCAACTCTAGAAAATTATCTCGAGGAACTTCAATTTCAGTTTCAGCCATGGCTTCTGCTACTAAGAAGGTTCGTATTATCTATACTTTTCTCTATTGGAGACAGATTCAGAATTTGAAGTTTATTATATATGATAATAACTGTAGATTTATTTACGGTTCCTTTATACATTTGTTTGTTATAGGTATTGGTTCCGATTGCGATTGGTACAGAGCCGATTGAGGCTATAGTGCCGATAGATATACTGCGGAGAGCTGGTGCGGAGGTTATTGTTGCTTCCGTTGAGAATCAGCTTCAGATTGAAGTAATGTATGGGATTAAGATCGTTGCTGATGCTCTAATTTCGGATTGTGTAGATACTGAGTTCGACCTTATTTCGCTTCCGGTATGTTTGTTGTTCAAGCTCACAAATTAGGCTTTGCTGAATTGAACATTGGTTAATTCTTTTATCTGATATTTTGGTGGAAGAGTCAGTATAAACTACTCATGAATTATAGAAGCATATGTTCATTATTATGTGATTTAGTTTTAGCAAGACCATTGCAATCACTTGTGGAAGAAGGCAGATGCTATGATGATTATTTTGTCATGTCCATTTTTGTGTGTGTCCATGAAAATTGTTAATTCAATTAAAGAGTTAACAGTTTTGCATTACATTATCTTTGTTACTTCTAATGATTTTAAAAGAGACGTGCTCAAAGAAGCAAAAGAGGATGCCTACACAATTCTTGTCCATTTTCCAGATCTTTGTATTGGAAAAGCAAGTAAATCCTTTATAGTTGTATTGGTTAGTAACTGGAAATGATGAATATTGCAAGAAGGATCTCTTCTTACATGTCCTGTCCCTTTTCCTGAGCCAACATGATGTATGATACTTAAATGTTTCTTGATACTGGTCAAGTCTCATTCAGGGACACATGACGATAGCTTCTGTAGTTATGATTCTTTTTTTTGGTTAATGTTTTCACCATTCTTCAGGGAGGGGTACCTGGTGCAGCCAACCTTGGGAACTGCAAAATTTTGGAAAGCATTGTAAAAAAGCAAGCTGAAAATGGAAAGCTATATGCTGCAATATGTGCTGCTCCAGCGGTAGCACTTGGATCATGGGGGCTTTTGAAGGGGCTGAAAGTGAGCTCATTCATTTCTTTCCCTGCTTAAAATTCAAGTATGTTCTTTTTCTTTTGAAGGGACTGAAAGTTAGAATTGTGTTTTTCCTTTGTTCTTTTAAAGGCAACGTGTTATCCATCGTATATGGAGGAACTATCATCTCATGCCATTGCTGTTGAGTCAAGAGTCCAAAAGGATGCGAAAGTTGTGACAAGTCGTGGACCAGCAACATCCATCGAGTATGCTGTTGCATTGGTTGAGGAGTTGTATGGAAAAGAGAAGGCTAATGAAGTTTCTGGCCCACTGGTATATTTCCAATCTCATCTCTTCGTTTTATCATAAAAGTGGAAGCAATGTATTGGCATGATGTGGGACATGGTGTTGTAGACCTAAAATTTGGGATATTCAAGACTTGGATTTGCATCTGTGTCTTATGTTAATATATATGTGCTGAAACAAGAAAGTATATTCCTGTCTCTTCTATGTATGATTCTATTTTTGGAGGAGATAAACTAACTGAAATGTTAAAATGTATCCTACTATGCCGCAAAAGAAAAGAAGGTTGTTTCTATTCTATGTCATAGTTATGTGAACAAGTAGCTGGAGGAACTGCGGGTGTTCAACTGATGCATAATTGGCTGAAGGTTGGGGTAGCAAAATCGCTGTCTTCTTCTTCTTAGAATCTGATCTTTTGGAGGAGAGTTGAGTAGTTATGACAAATAGTGTTGAAAATCAGAGCCCGGTCTCACCTTTGTTGATTTCTATTCAAGATCAAGATGCAGAATGCAACATTGTGGGCTCGTAGCTTTTCTCATCATATATCATCTTGGCCCACTGAATTATCTTGTCCTGATGATTATTTTTATGTGTACAGTTGTGGAAATCAGTTCTTAGCTAGTTCTTCTTCTGGTATTGAATCTTATGTTTGTTCATAGTCCATATTTCTGTCAAAGCTTTTTCTTAATCATTTTAGCTTTGGTATCGGAGACCTGCAGATGTTTTCATTTTGCAGTTCTGGTGGTCTGGTATTTGCTCGGTGCCATTTATTTATGAAAATTTGGGATTATTCTTATTCAGGTGATGCGCCCAAATCACAGTGAAGAATTTGCATTTGCGGACCTTAATTCAGTAAATTGGACACTCACGAGTAAGCCACGGGTAAGATTTTTGGCTGAGGGGTGCAGCTCTGTCAGTTTCTCTACACAATCATTTATGTAAATATATTAATCATTTCTCTACAAGTGACCACTTGGATTTTGCATATATTTAAATCTTCTACTATCATGTGTATGTTGATACATTTTTTATAAGTATGTGTATGTTGATACATACATTGTTGTGCTGGCAAATGTTGTAGGAAAACTTTGTGAGTCATAATATATATGCTCAAAAAGCAAAGGATGAGGTATTCTAAGCACATCCATGTATAACCATGTCCCCAGAGTTAAGGGTTAGCAAACTTTTATGCAAACCATCATTAATAGATGTCTTTTTACCTTTGGAAGTAATAGCAGTGTCCCATGTCTAGGTAGAATGTTTAGCTTATGAAGTAACAGCAATATGTTGTACTTACAGTATGTTATGAATTGTTCTTTCGAGTTTTGGAGCTGAATCACCACCATGTTAATATGCAAGTTCATAACTTGTCAAAAAAATATTAAGTTCTTAATATTTCCAAAATTATTTAGAGTTACTTGTTTGACAGATTCTTGTACCTATTGCAAATGGTTCTGAGGAAATGGAAGCTACTATTATTATTGATGTACTTCGGCGAGCAAACGCTCAAGTAGTTGTGGCATCTCTGGAAGATAAATTGGAGATTGTTGCTTCCAGAAAAGTTAAACTAGTAGCAGATGTGCTCCTTGATGAAGCTGCTAAACAATCGTACGATCTCATTGTCCTACCAGTGAGTGCAATCCTCTGAAACTCTGCTTCTAAAGCTCCTTGAAATTCTTGTCTTACTGTAATATATGATTATGCAGGGCGGTCTTGGTGGTGCCGAAACATTTGCCAAATCAGAAAAGTTGGTTGACATGCTGAAAAAGCAGAGGGAGTCAAGCAAACCATATGGAGCAATGTGTGCATCTCCAGCTCTAGTCCTAGAACCCCATGGGCTTCTCAAGGTAAGAAGACATACTCATGCTCTTCGATTTTGAAAGTTAAAACTATTTTAAAGCAAGTGAATATTACCTCGAGTACTGTAATTTGTACATTACCTTGGTTTATCAGGATAAAAAGGCCACGACTTAAAGGTCTTGATTGGCCGTAACCTTATTGAGCTAGGCTATATTGGTTCATCTTAATAGGTTTAAAAAAGTAACAGTATTACATTATTAAATATACAAGGGGCCTGTTGTTGCAAGTCTTGCAGCATAGCATGCTTTGCATTACACTATTTATGCATTTGACTGCTTTATTTCTGGTCTGTTAATTGACATGCATCCTTTTCTTGCTATCCAGGGTAAAAAGGCTACTGCCTTTCCTGCCTTGTGCAACAAACTTTCCGATCCAAGCGAAGCAGAAAACAGGGTGGTGGTTGATGGAAATCTCGTTACCAGCAGAGGACCAGGAACTACCATGGAGTTCGCACTGGCCATTGCAGATAAGTTTATTGGGCACAAGGAAACATTAGAGCTAGCAAAGGAGATGATTTTCTAAGTATTTACTTTTTTGCAGCTGTGTTCCGTCTTTAGCATCATACACACACCCATCGTTGTAAACTTGTAGTATAATAAACTTTGCTATATCAGTGTGCACTTACAACTTTGTTTGTTTGGATGGTTGTTACTCATCGTACGTATTGTATTGTGTTAGTTTAAATACAATGTTTGTTTTGTTAGTTATTTAATTTTTTTTTGTATTGTATCGTTAAATTCATCTTCAGGTAATGACAAAAAAGTCTCATTTTTTGTGTAACATTCAATTTGTTGTGATTGCTTCCTTATCTTATATTTTCCCCTCATTTTGCCTTTACTTAGGGTGTGTTTGGTTTGTGGAACATGTTCTCCATTGAAAATATTTCTTTGTTTTCTTTCAAGGAAAATAAGTGGATTTTTTTTACTTATTTTCTTATATTCGGTAAGTAAGCAAAAATAATTATCCTAAAAACATTTATATATAATTTAGATAAATATTACGAGAGATAGGGGTGGTGGGATGAGGGCCATGGGAGTGTGGTGACAATAAGGTATGTTGGAGGGTGAGAATAGATGACACAATTAATGTGAAATGCTTTCTATAAAAAGAAATTCATATTCAAAATTCAAACGCGAGATTTCTAATTGAGGAAGGAACAGTTTCATTGCACCACATTCGTCGATGGTTTACAACTAAATGTTGTGTGTGTATTGTTGGCTTGTGGCTTGAAAAGAACGCCATGGTTGACTTCTTCTGTGGAATTTTGGAATGCACGTTTTTCCGAAAAGGTTTGTGATGGGGGATTACAGTTGGTGATGGTCTTCTCCATCAATTTGAGTTGACAAAAAAGGTCCTGATTCTTTCTTATTTTTATTTGGTTTTCGTCCTGTGTGTCTGAAGCCTATATTGAAATCTTAACTAAATCTGAATTGTGCATTGCATGGCTCATTCAAGAGTGGTGCTTTCAACAAAATTTTATCTATACTCTACTCGAATTTGAAACCTTTAATTAAGGATTGAGCATTCTCATCACCGCACCACAATCATGTTGGTAGGTCTCGACTCTTTAATGAACAAATGCCTTTGCCCTACCATCTTTTTAAGTGTAGGAAAAGACCTGATTATTCCAAGTCTTCAAAATTTGTGCCAATTAATGAATTTCTTTGTAGTTTCATGGCACTACCTACAGCCTAACTCACTGTTATCGACTCCAAATTGGCCCCAATTATATTCAATTATTCCCTCCCTCCTGTATTAATTTACGCCTGCTAATTTTATTAGTGATGCTTTGAAATTTTAAATTTGAGTTTTAAAGATTTGAGTAGTACGGAAAAATTAAAAAAACAATATAAAAATCTTTCCACTTGGAGTCAGAGGCAGACCATGAGGGTACACGTGCATCCATTAATTTCGAAAAATTATATATATACCTTGAGATAGACATATATTTTATTAGATGTCCAAAGACATTAAAATTATTTGGATGCGCTTGAATCTCATTTACTACTTTCCACCACTCCACCAAACTTTATCTAGTAGTGGATTAGCCTTATGAACCAAAAAGGGAAAAAAAAAACTTTTTCTTTTTTTGGAGGATAAAATAGTGAAATGTTTACTAGGCAATCTTGTGTCAAAAAGGTTTAAGCATGCTCATGTCCATTGCCAATTATATCGGGCGCATTGCATGTGAATAAAACTTTGTTGGGGTTGAGCATGGTATAATATTCCGAATCGACTTTATTTGCTGAAGAAGTTGAAATCCATCAAAGTAAAAAATAATAATTTGATCGTCATAAAGTTCGTGAGATATTTTCTTATTAAGTTTTGTTATAATATATTTATGACCACTTGTGGTTTAGGTCGATAACCTGGACAAAAAGGAGCTAGATACTTAAGCAACTTACTTAGTGTCCCATGTGCTAATTATAATTTCCATTAATTAGAAGATTACTTAGAATTTTGATTTGCATACAAGGCTTGTGTACTCTTCCTCTCTCCTCTTTTTTTCTTGTTGATCCAACTTCACGTCGAAAAATTTCATCTCATGAACAAAATATTTTCTACCAAATGTGACTCTATTATCTTTTAATTAAGGATAAAAAGAATTGTTATTGTTGTTTCTCGAGAAGTCTTCAATAGCTAGATTGAGAATTCTTGTAGTTTGATTTGAGTTCATGGAATAATTCAACCTTTTCTTGTACGATGTTAAATTTAATTGAGTTGACATCATGTTTGTGTCTGTCATGTTGAATTATTGAAGCCAAATAACTGATTCAATTACTTGTAACTTGTAAGTTACTTCATTTGTCTCGTATTAATTGTCAGCGTTACTATATATAAATGTTCTTGAAATAAGATTAACTTAGTTTTGTTGAGATACGGATAAATTAGTTTAAAATATTTATGATTTATGATTTTTTATAAAAATATATAAAAAAATAAATAATACGTAACTATATAAAACGAAAGGAGTGATAAAAGTTGATCATGTCAACTATCGATTAAGAAAAATACTTTAGAAAATAGATATTTTCAGTGTGAATGTATTTATTAAAGCTTTCACTTATGACTCACTCAACCTTACTTTAATCTTGAATTATTCTTCAAGGATTGGGAAAATGCCTTTGTTATTTTACATCTGCAGAATTGTTTAACTATATGGAAAAAATATGCATTTCTTTTTCAAAAATCTTCATTTTGACATGATGAGTAACTTTTCTCGTGACGTTTTTAAAAAAAAGTACAATATATTTGATAAATTTTTTAATTTAATACTATAAGATTTAATAATTGTTTTTTTTATACAATGTATCAAGTCAGAATAAGAGAGATAAATTAAAAAAGAGGAATATTATATAGATTATAAAATAAAATAAATAATTTTAAAATGCTGAAATTCAGAATCTACTTATGAGTTATGAGCATGTAAAAGTAGAGGAAAGTGGCAATCGTGCGGTACTAAAGCACAATCTCTGTACTTAATTAGTACTTTAATGTGTTTTTCTTCTTCTTAATGATTAGAGGGAAGATGTCACTATATGTTTTTTTTTTTTGATTAATTATGATTAGTATTTGTCTGATACTTCTTCCGTTCAGTAATAGTTGTCCATTATACTATTTTAGGATATCCAACAATATTTATCTACTTTATAAAATTAATGGGTAATTTTACGTTTTTAATTTTAAATTTACCCTTATTATTAATTAGAAAACACTTTATCAATGAATTATACTTTTTTTTGTGTGTGAATTCAAATTTTAATATACAAAACATCATGAAAAATAAAATAAAAAAATAAAGAAAGAGTATATAGAATTTTGTCACCGTATAATGATTGGTGCAGCCAACCTTATCTTTTTCCTCTATATATTTTTTCTTTTATTATAAAAGTATATATTGGGGCAAGTGGATAATAATATTACTAAATTAATTGTTGAAAGGAATAGTTGAAAAAGAAGGAGAATAAATTAGGTGGTAGACTTAAAAAGTTCAAGAGAATTCAATGATTTCTCATAGAAAATTAATAATTAAAATATTTTCACTAGTCAAATTAGTGAAAAGTAGAATTTTCTTATAAAAAAACAATGTCTAAACTGACTTTTCAAATCTAAATGAAAAAAATTAAAAAATTTAGAGTTGATTATTTTTAAGTTGAAAGATAAAAAAATGTGTAATAATTATGAGATTGTATTTAATAATATTCATCAATTTATTATTTTTGAATTTATGCTTTCATGATAAAGTAGTAAAATAAATTTTTTTTAAAAAACAGAAAAATGATTCATTTGTCCTTTTCTTTTCCTTTTTAGTAAATTATGCTTGGTTTCAACAACAATAACAACAAAGAGTATAGAATATACGTAGACTTTATCATTACCATATATAAACAGATATATTATTTTTAAAAGACTCTTGATAATTTATTACGTACTTAATTTCAAGTCACGTTTTTTTTTCCAAATAAATCAAACCCCATCCTAGTAAATCTTTTGTCAACAAATAAAAGTATTTACTTTTCTAAGTGATTCGAATAGTCAATAGTCCATTGCACCGATTTTAAATTTTAATCGAATCATTAGTGGCTGCTAATATATTCTTGTTAAAATAAAAATGTATTACTTTTGAATTAAACATATATTATTTTGACTTTACTGATGTTTACATTTGTCCATATTTTCCACGTAAAAAATAAAAAACACAATTGAATATTAATATTATTTTTTTAATAAGGGAGGGATATTTCTATGATCTTGCTAATGACGTGCTAACATAACATCAATGGCCTGCAACTCTTTAAGGGTTTTTTAAATAAGCAGAGATATTTCAGGATTAAATTTAAAATTAAAATTATACTTTATTTAGTTAAAGTTATTATAAGTTTAGCTTGGGATAAATTTATATCTTCAGTTAGAGTATAAATTTTATAATTTCAAGAGTATAATTTCAATATAACTTTATCTCTGAACCAAGCAAGCTCTCACAATTGGGGTGGTTCAAAATCGAAACGAAATTAATAACTCGAATAAAAAAAAGGCTATTGATTTAGCGATTTTGATAATAATTTTAATTTTTTTGTTACCGGGTTATCGATTCTTAATGATTTGAGATTCTTTTTTTTTTAAAACGGGTTAACTGATAGTCCGATAGTAAATTAAATCAATATATTTATACAATTTTGTATATTAAGTCTTTGACTTAGAGTTTTGTTTCTCACTTTTATTTTTGACGGTCTCAAACTCTTAGTTATTCTACAATGTAAAAGTGTTTACTTTTGAGCAAAAAACAATTTGTGAACTCATGTGTATGGTTCATTTGATTTGTCACTTTGTTTCTATGAGATTTTCAATGATTTTTTGTGTGTCAAATCTTATTAGTTAAATCAATAGCCAAATCGATAAACCAATATCTTAATGGTTTTATAATAATTTAACCTCTCTACAAACTGATAACCAATAAGTCAAATCAATAACCTTCGAACAAAATCGACAGATACGCAACCCTACTTATAAGGGATAGGGACAACTAATCCCAATTATAATCTTAGAAATAATAACTATATTTATGTGTGATTGTAATTATAATATTATTTGTATTTCACATAAAATAATAATTTGTTATAACTAATTTCATCATAATTAATCCGAATATAACTTTATCCGTAAACCAAACTCCGATATATAGT